CAAAGCTTACATAGATCGTCCATGTGGCTATATATTAATGTTTTTCTTTCTTTTTCTTTTCTGTCTATTCGTCCGCACACTCGATCACTAGGAGGGAGAGGAAAATGACAATGCTACAGGTCATGGCTGCCGGAGTCATATCTCACTATAAACGGTGAGGCGCGCGGCAAGATCTACACGATGACGTTTTGCAAGATTGATGAAAACCGAGGCTGTCTCATGGCAGAATAAAGATAGTGACCCTATAAGACGTCGACGATGTGCTGGACGTTGGTTTTGTGTGGTTGGGCGGGCGGCGGTTGAGTACAAAGAACACCGGAAGCCAGTCGTTGGTCGCTTGCATCGGTAAACTGATTTCGCCAAACAATTGCGGAGTTTAGGTTGATGAATTTGAGGCCATGAATTTCCTCAGTTGCTTGGATTACACTTGGTCTCGTACTACTTAGTGTTGGACCCGGTTCGAGTCGCCCGTCCTGGGAATCGGCTACTGTGCGAGCCCGGCCCAGTGTACCGGTTTTGGTTTCGAGACTAGGCCCGGTCCCGGGGGCTAGGGTGGGGTGGTCCCGGTTCACCCCATTCTTTGGAACCGGCCCAGGCAGTCCCGGGCCCGGTTCGGACCTTTTTTTTTTCATTGTTTTAGGCTTTTTCCTGAGTTGGGCTGGGTGTTTTTTTTTGGGGGGGGGGGGGGAGTTGGGGGTCGGGTGTTAATAAGAAAAGAAAAAAACATGGACCCGACCCGGACCCGGACTCGGTGGTAACCCGGCCCGGTCCCGGGCCTTCGACCAAAAATCTAGGGATGGATCAGGGCCGAGCCGGTTCCGGTTCGGGCCTAGGCCCGGCCGAGCTTTTGTTTGGGAAGTAGGGAACCGGAACCGCCGGTTCCAGATCGGGTCGGGCCAGTTTCCGGTTCAATGTTAATTTTTTTCTTTTGTTTTTCTAAATTACCCCCGACCCCCCTTCACCCTCCACCCCCCAAACCTCCCCAAAACTCCCAGCCCTACCCGGTAGAAACAAAAAAAAATTGAAAAAACAAAACAAATTTGGCCCGAACCGGGCCCGAATCAATCGGGTCAGTTCAACATTTTCAAGGTCCGAGCCTGAACCGGGAGTTGAGCGATTCCGGTTAGCCCGAACCGGCCCCTAGACCGGGTATTGGGCCGGGCCCAAACAGTACCGGTCTGGTTCTGGGCCGGACGGCCCGACCCGAGTTCACCCCTACAAAAATCAAAAGCCCGGCCGGGTCTAGGCCCAACCCCGACCCGGACCCAAGTCCATGACTAGTGCTACTATCTATTTAGCATTTTAGCATGAATTTTAACTATCGAGGGATGCAATTTGCAGGTACAAGAATGAAAAGGAAAAAGAAACAGGGAAAAGTAAAGAGCCAAAGTCCAATTCGAACAAAATAAACTAAAAAAAAGAGAGAAATCATTAAAAATAGCCACGTGGACCGTCCATGTGGGCTGTTAACCGGGGGAACTTATTCTATACCGGTTAAAAAGCTCAATTGAGCTTTTTGTGCAAGTATGATGATTTGATTGATTGATTTTAAAGTATGAAAATCTAATTGACTTTTTTGAGATAGTAGAAGGACGTATTAAGCTGTATTGTATATATACTTTTGTCATTTTCAGTTTTTATTTAAGCAATAGAAGTAATAATGCTCCATTTGGAGTGTGATGATAGATACGCATAGATGCCTAGATGGTCATAGAGGGATTTGCTTTTGGAGCGGCAGCATTTGGTAACAATTTCCTAAATTTAAATCAAACTATTTCTTTCAGAAGTACAATGTAATTTTATGACACCTTACAACTACTATTTACAAAAGAGAGATAATACTGTGTGAGGATATTACTATAGCAAAAGCACCCATATTACTCAAAGTTATTAAAAATTCCAAAATGGAATGAAAATCCACTCCTTATAATAAACAACATTTAAGGACGAAAATGACCTCATTAAAGAAACGTGCATATTGCACGTGCAGTGGACAAGTGAGGCTGTGAAATGAGTGATGAGTGTGATGGCATTTGACATACTCCCTCCGTATCTTTAAAATCTTCACATTTGAAAAGTAGGTAGATTAAGAATAGTGAAAGAGAATATGAATTATTGAGGGTATGATAGGAAGATAGTGGAATAAGGTGATGGAATGTAGGATAAATCCAAAAAAAAGTAGTTGTAGTAGTGTATTATTTTCAGAATTATTGAGGGTATGATAGGAAGATTTAGAAATGAGAAGATTTTTTTGTTACGGACGAAAAAGGAAAGTGGGAAGATTTTAAAGTTACGGAGGGAGTAATATTTTCATGGGATATTACCCGAAATAGGACTAAAAAGGTTTCAAAATTTCAAAATAGGACTGACATGTTTTTATTTCCCAAATATGACTAATTACTGCCATGTTTTAGCAGTACGAGACTTCAAACATGGCAGTATTTTCCAAACTTGACAGTAATTACTCCTATTTTGGGAGTAAAAAACATGGCAGTCCTATTTTGGAATTTTCAAACTGTTATAGTCCAATTTCGGGAACTTTCCCTTTTTTCATTAGATGAAGCTGAATAGGCAACTGAGTGAGATAGGTGGAGAATTCAAAGATGCACGATGATGATGGAGAATTTCAGATGTTTGTTTGCTGTTCGAAATTTGAGTATGCAAAAAAAACAGGGGGAGGAGTCTTGAATATATAGTGCTCTTGCCAGGAGACACTTTCAAGAGACACATCTTCAATAAAAAGTGAGAACCTTTTATAAAAGGAAAAATTCACATTAATAATCTCAACTATCAACGGTCTTTCAATATTAATCCCACATATACGTAATTCTAGAATAATTTGGATGGAAAATCGATGGTGAAAAGCAGCTGGGACGGGCGGCCGACGACGATCTACAGATGGTATGGACGGAGACCATGGAACATGGACGGGTTGTTGTTCGTACTCCGCTGGAAACGCTTTAGCTCAAGCCCCAAGAAAAGAAAAGAAACGCGGAGAAAATAATTTCTTAAGAAAGTAAAGTTAGAGTTGAGCTTCTAACATTAAAACAGAAGCAAATATTGTGCTTCTAAATTCGATCGAAGCCAAATTCGAGTAAGGGGAAAGTAGAATTGGATTTGCCAATTTAACTGTTCCTCAAATTAAATCCTGGAGATGCCAGATAGGAGGAAAGAAAAAAGAAAATGAAAACCTACTAGATCTGTGAGAGGTATACCTTGCCGGTGAGAAAAGAAGAAAACGGGTGGGAAATGGTGAAAAGAAAAGAACGATGCAAAGAGAGGAAGACGAAGGAAGAAAAAAGGAAGGAAAAAAAAAAGATTAAGAAAAGAAAGGGATAGATGACTAATAATGTGCCACGTGTCCGGGTGACCTGCTGAATGGGTTTATGCAGGTCACCAGATTGTTTTGAGTATATGTCCATTATAATTGAGATTATTCTAGAATTACTTATATGTGGGATTAATATTGGAAGACCGTTGATAGTTGGGATTGTTAATGTGAATTTTTCCTTTATAAAATAATAAGATATTTCATATGGGAGGATAAATCCAAAATTCAAAGGAACAAAAAATAAATCTTCCTATCTCAAGCCCAATCATTGACTGATCAAAGACCTGAACCCAAACCCAAACCAGAACTGATGGACGGCGGCGGCGTGTTTGAAGAGTTAATTCCACACTCAACGTATACAGATAGGTGTCAATGCACAACAAAAATTCGATACCCTAAGGACCCAACCTAATAGCTAAGGAAAGATTAAAAAAAACACTTCATTAACTCTCCATTTTCGATGTGGGATAAATTCCCTTTCGAAACTAGTTTTTTAGTGAAGTTCGGGGAACAATTTCTCATTCATTTCTAAATGTGTTTGCACACTTTAATGAATGGTTGCGTTCACCTTTTCGAGTACTATACGTTAGGACTATGTCCTATGAGGCTATGACAAATTAGTTGTGGATCTCTTGTTTATTTTTGCTCATAGGTGACCATTATATTAAAGTAAAACCATTTTTTCCAACAATACCCCACATGAATGGAAAATTGGCTTTAAAACAAAAAACATTTTGGAATTTCACAAAGGAAGATGAGAACTCTACATAGGGTTAGGTAGTCGTGACATTTCGATAACTTAATATTTTGTCAACTTCAACGATTACGTGGATTGTGAAAGTTTAAACATTACAATTAATGTTTAAGGGGTTTTTCCAAAAATAATACTAGAATAAATGTCAAAGACAAAAATAGGACCACTTTTAAATAATTCCATAAAATGAGACTAAACTACCATGATCAATCCTTGACTAATCCGGCCGGTGACCAAACCTGACCAATGACCAAGCTCAATCAGTGACCAAACCCGACCAATGACCAAACCCGGTCAGTGACTAGTGACCAACCCGACCAGCGACCAAATCCGACCGGTGACCAAACCCGACCAATAACCAAACTCGACCAGTGACAAAAGACCAACCCGATCAGTGACAAGTGACCAATCCGACCGTGACCAACCCAACTATGACCAACTCAACCAGTGATCAATCCAATTAGTGACCATGACCAATACAACCATTGACCAATGCTGCTACTACTGCTCCTGACCAACACCGCCGCTGCCGCTGCCTTGACCACCCCTCCCCTATCCCAGTCCCCTCCCCTACACAAGACCCCTCCACCACCCCCTTCCCTGCCCCTGTCCTGCACCAGCTCCCCAACCCCCTCCCCTGCACCAGCCCCCACCAGGGGTGGAGCTAGGGGAGGGCCAACCTTGACCTTGGCCCAACCCAAATATAAAAAATGTCTAAATTTTTAGTGTAAAAAAGTCTGTGTAAAATTGTTTCTTAAAATATTCTTTGTATCAGCCCAGTCGGACCCAGTGTCCTGGCTCCGCCCCTGACCCCCACCCATACAGCCACCACCCATCCCATTGACTGCCGCCTCCCTGCACCTGCGTCCTCCTCAGCCCCGTTCCGGCAGCCAGCCACCTCTTCAGCCCACTTTCCCCAACCACTGCACCACCATCTTGCGACCATAGCCGCCCAGATATAGCCACTCGCCGCTTCAATTCGATCTGAAATCATAGCCGGCAGCACTCGGAAAAAAACAGAAGGAGAAGAGATAGGCTTCGGACCAAGGGCGGCAAGGTTAGACAAGAACGGCGGTGCCATGGCTGAACAGAGCCGTTGCTTGTCATCTCCTTCGCTGCTCGTCATCTTAGTCCCCGCTCTACGTCGTTGCTCTCCGTCTGTGCTCCCTGCCTCTTCGTAGCTTGTCTTCCTTGCTCCCCATCGAAGCGCTGCTAATCTGTGAAAATGAGAAGGGATGGACAATGGTTTGGAGACGGAGAAGAACAGAGTCGGTCGATCCTTTGGTCTCTTTTTTGTCCTCCGTAAAAATGGTCTTATTTTTGTTGGGGTTGCTAGGCGCACCCCCATAATTGCTAAATGTAACCTCTGGGAGACAGAATTACCCTTTCCAATCTTTTACGGAAGCTTCACACGTGACGGCCCTATATTGAATTTCAATCAATTGACTTCAGTTGGTGCTAAGTTTCAAACAATTGTTTCATACGAAGTATATAAATGTCATATCTACCTAGTAGTGAATCAGGACTTTCTCCTCCCAGATTTTCAATATTATTTTATATATTTTTTAAAACCAAATATAAAATATCATTTTTTCAGTCAAGATGTTTTATATTAGTTAAGATTTTATTTGCTAACATATTTTATTTGCGCACCCCATTCTTGCTTTACGTAATCATAACATTACAATTTTGACCTTCTTAATTATTAAATTAAAATTAATTAAAGTTTTTGTTTTCTTCTCCATCTGATAACTTGCTGTCGTGTGACAAATAATTCCTTTTTTATAAAATTTTATACTTTTTCATATTTGCTCCAATTTTTATAAAACTTATATCAAATTAAATAATTTTTTATGATCTTTCATATGACACCAATATTATATATGTAAAAATAAAAAATGGTCAAGTTTTGTGAACGGTCGATAAATGTATATTTACTATTATTTAAATTTAATCTAGTCTAATTTAGATCTGGTTTGTTTGAATCTATCTAGATTGGAATCAGTTCAATTAAAAACATCCTAAATATGATTCACATCATAAATCTAGTCATGTAACATATATGGCCATAATGCGCAAGGTTGTTAAAATCGTATTTTTGAATCGAATCGGTAGATGTTTTTGAAAATCGAATCGTAAAATCGAATCGCAAATCGTAAGATTTTATCAAACATATTTTAATAATTATAAAATAAATAAATATTAAAATTAAGTTGCAAGTTAATGGTATTATGTCATTTTATTACATACCACTATACCTACAAGGTCAAAAACAAGATTTATAAACTATTTTTATATTGTAAATAGAGTGGATAATAACATTAAACATATGTAAAACATAAAAATAATTAAATAACACAAGAATCCATTACTTTTTTTTTAAATATACCATTGATGTTATTATTATTGAAATTTTGTATCAATTTAGTAGTTAATTTAAATAAATTTGAACCATTTTCACTAAAAAAAACTTATTCCGATTTTGCTACGATTTTGATACGATTTTATACGATTCTACACGATTTTTGTACGATTTTGTTACGATTTTGTACGATTTTATGATTTTACGATTTTACCTGCGATTTGAATCGATTTATTATTGTAGAATCGTAAAATCGTACGATTTTACGATTTAAATCGAGATTTTAACAACCTTGATAATGCGGAATCATCATGTTGCTGATAGAGTTATAAAAAGACATTTGAAATGTACTTATTAGTTTGACAGAAATTTATTTATTGGGTGACATTAATTTTTTATTATACTACCAATAAGGATGTTTTTATTTGGATTAAAATTTATTAGTCCAGTCTAATCCGGTATGATCTTATCTTATTTTTTATATTTAAGTTTGGTCTAATCTAGTCTGAACTGATCTACCCTATTTGATGTTTGTTATGTGCGTGTGTGTGTTTTCTATATGTGCTAAACAATTACCAAAATTTGATTTGGGCTGGTCTGGGATCGGAAACATCTCAATAAAAAAACATCCTAGATATTGTCATATCACAGTTAGATAATAGAATAAAAACAAAATTATTCAATATAAGATGAATGAAAAAGTATATGTATGACCATCAAAATTGTTCAATATAAGATGAATATTGCATACAACAAACTTAATAAAACACATCAAAAGAAGAACTGACATACGAATAGTGCGGCAGATGATTACATCATAAGTCTGAAAATTAAGAGTACTATTTCTTAAATAATTTTTTAGATTCATCGTCCATTATATAAGAAGATTGTAAAAAACTTATAGGAACATTAATAATGAGTTCCAAATATGTATATAGTAGTTGTTTGATGGTACTTACAAAGTGTAATTCTTAAGAATTTGAATATATTTCAAAGATAATTATGTTATTTCTCCAAACATATTACACAAAATTTTAGAAATCAAGAATACCTATTTTTATTTAAAAAAGCAAAATAGGGCCCCATTACAAAAATCAATTCGAAGAATGAAGGGAACCGAGATGCTCCATAGATACGTACTTCGTGTATGATACTGACTTTTATACGGAAAAGTAGTGGTGCGCCTAGCAAGAAGTAGCGGACGTTAAGGACATACTTGTCCACCTTTTACAAAAAAAAATGGGGCGCGGAGCAACTTCGGCGGTGCGCGGAGCAGAGCCGTATTTTTGTCTAAGCAAAACTCCCTAGTACAAAGTACAGAGTATTATTTTTTACATTATTTCAAAATTAAAAAATACAGAGCAATCACAACAAATTAGTTGATTTAAAGAAAAAGTAACAATATTTAATACGGAGTAGAAAACTAAAATAAATAAAGTTCATAAAATATATTGGAAATAACATACTAGAAGTTTAAATAGAATAGCACCAATATTCATTTCTTATCATTATTATTACACTCATTATTATTCTTATTTTATTTCGATTAATATTTCTAGTTTGAATAATTATTAAAAACACAAATAATAAGATACTCCGTACAATTGAATTGTATATTAGACTTTTTAAAGTATAAAATCGAGGTTGTCGTGAAAAGCTATTGTTTTGTCAACCTTGTTTTTTCCCACTTCAAATAGCTAGATGCGAAAATCTTTTATCAAACATCAAAAGTTACTATTTGAGAGCTGAAGTTATTTTTCAGGATATTATGAATTTGAGTGAGACTAATTTGACAACTTTTCTTTCAAGTGTATGAGCAAGGGAGTGATGACAACTAATTTCACAGCTTCTCGAGAGCCGAGGAAATAATCCACGTACATAAGGATGAGATTGCTACTGAGGAAGGGAGTGCTGGCAAGGGGGCCATTCAGTCATAAAATATCAAAGAAAATATAGTAGTTCCAGGGTCTTTAGGTTTGCGCGAGAATTTCTAGATTGTGGATTTCTAGAGCAGGACTCCTCTAGAAAACGATAAACACACTCCTATTTTGACGGTGGACGATTTATGTGATTTTGACTCTAATCAGAATATTTGTAATAAGCCATTGCTTATTACGAGGGATAATTAATTTGCTAGAAATAATTTGAACATGTAGACTTACAGAAAAAGGACTCCACATTCACACCGAATGAGAACGCGATCTCAAACTCGCGACGAGCGTTGAGGTTATCATTATTGACAAAGGGAGTTAGAGCTTATTGGGTGAGAACAATTTTGTTCACCCCCTCAAAATAGGGTGAACATCACCCCCATCCTACTGGGCTGACACATGACATGGCAATGCTTTTAAATTTCGTAGTTGTTATAACTTTTTCATTTTTAATTCATTTTCTCGAAAAATATATTAATATTTTTAATTTTTTATGATCTTTCATATGATACCAATATCGTATATGTAAAATTGAAGGAAAAAAATCCAGCTAAAATAGATTTAAGAAAAAAAGATTTTTTTTTTTCATATTTTTATATGCAATATGGATATCATTGGAAATATGATAAAAATTTATGAAATCTGATATATTTTTTGTGAAAATCAGATTATATATAAAAATTTATAATAATTTCAAGAAAAACAATAATTGCAGTGTGCCAAAATTCATGCATTGTATGGAAGGGGTGGTGCTCACCCTCCTTAGAGGGGTGAAGAAAATCTAACTCTTATTGAGTTGGGCAAGATAGATAAATTATCAATTCGGCATCAAAAGATGAAATGTATCGGTATAAGATCTGAATGATGGAAAACTATCAATTTAGGACATAACATAGGTTTTGATTTATTTAATTTTTTATTATTTCCATTACTAATTTTTGATAAACTTTTCTTCACAAAAGTTATTAGTTTAATAAAACTAAATAATATTTAAAATTTTTAAAATAAAATTAAAAAAATTATGACAACTTAGGTCCTAGAGTGATGATTTTCAATCATCCGGGTCCTAAATTGATAGTTTTTCATTACCCGGGTCCTATATTTGTGAATTTCATCTTTCCGGACTCGAATTGATAATTCGTTTTATTAAAATTCCTTTAAAAAACAGCCAAACAATTAAAATGGACTGATAAAATTCCTTAAAAAACAGTTAAACATTAAAATCAATTCAAAAAACCACAAAATGGACGATAGCCGACAACCAAACACCTCTCAATGTAACCATAAGTTATTCAACCCTGCTATAATTATCTTATTTTGTATCCCAATTTGTATCCAGCCTATTTGTGTGGCTCACAAAAGTCCATTTCAATAAATGAATTGATACACTTTAATGAGCCACAAAAATAGTGAATTGATACAAATACGTTATGATGACTGAATGTTTTCCATTTCTCGTCACTGTGGGGCGTTTCTGTCATCATGTCATAAAGTCCCCGCATTTCCGCAGTTCAACATCTATCGGAGAATATATTCAATTATTCATCTTCGTCGCCGTCCATCTAGATACTGTAAAAAGCCGGCAAGCTCAGTAGCAGGTCGGATACAGAAATCTCAAATAACAATGTAATGTCAGTTTCCTTCCTCCGGGCCTATTAGAGTATTAGGCTATTAGCTACTGCGAAAAAATAAGTCACTGATTCGCCTTCCCGGCCGGTCTTCAATTAGCTGATCGAATCCAGTTCAGTGAATAGTACACGAAATGAGGGTAGCCATGGGAGTGAGATCACCGCGACGAAGGCGCGTGGCCCACTGCTTGCTGATGACAACTGCGTTGTTCACTCTCCTTGGCTTATTATTCCTCACCTCATCGAGATCCGTCGATCCTTCTTCATCATCACACATCTCTATCAAATCCGCCGCCTTCCTAGCCGATGACGACGATGGCGAAGTTAGCATTGGCCCCGTATCTCACGACGTCGTTCCAGGAAACAAAACTTGCGCAACAGTTGAAGAAATGGGAGATGTCTTTCGCCAAGCAAGGTCTGCCGACCAACAACACGCTGCTGCTCTCAGTCTCAGAGAACTCATCCGGAATCACTTCGCCATAAATGGTATCGTACAATTAATACTAACTACTTTGCGGCCCTTGCTTAATCTGGATCGGAGTAATTATACTCTCTTCTATTGTATTTATTATGGATTCATTTAAGTAAATCAATTAATTAATTACTACGTACTACAATGCTGTCAAGTGTACTAGATTAGGATTAGGATTATATTTGTTTTGTGAATTAATCAATTGGAAATATTGCTAGTCAAGTAATTGCTAGGCTAAATAAATTAAGAAACATCAAGTCACATAACTGTCATATTAGACGCAACTCCATAACATCAAGGCTATGTTTGAATTGGGGAAAGTGCTATAGGAAGTTGCAAAGGAAATTGGAATATGATTAATGCTTCTACATTTTTAGACATTTAGATTTCTTACTATATACTTCGTATGTATTAGAAATAGTTTTTAAAGTGAATTAGAACAAGCAATGAACACAGAATTATTGAGATAGAACAAATGTTTTTTTCCTCGACATTTTCTCTCCTTCCTAATATTGTCAATAATTTATTTCCCTAGCATTTCCTAGATTTCCAAACGAACCCTAAGGAATTAGAAGAAATATGTATAAAGTTGTAGCAGTTTTTTTTTCCCAGCTTGAAAAGAAAGACAGGTGTAATGAAGAAGGAAAAGAAATAATCAAATATGAAGAATTTGGGGTGGGCATTCAGTGAAATACTAATGTTGTTGACTGGCTGGGTGCCCATCATCTGCCTGCAGGTGCATCAAGAGTGAGAGCACTTCCCCCAAATGAGTTTTGCAAACACGGATTTGTGTTGGGGAAGGCATCAGAAGCCGGTTTCGGGAACGAAATGTACAAAATCTTAACAGGAGCCGCACTCAGTGTCATGTTGAATCGTTCTCTCATTATCGGCCAAACCAGGCAGTTCCCCTTCTTTCTCATTCCTGATTAAATTAGTCAAAATATCTAAACTTGTATAGAATCTAACCATCTCATTAAGTTGCTACCACCCTTTTCACACTTACTTCAGGGGTAGGTTTCCATTTGAGGAATTCATCTCTTACTCCGATGTTGCTTTCACCATGAGTGAAATAAAGCATCTATGGAGACAGAATGGCTGTTTGAGTAAATATGGAAGGCATCTAGTAATGAGAATTGATGATTTCCAGAAGCCAACACGGACCAATGTTCTCTGCGGCAATTGGATGGGATGGAAACAACCTATTATATGGTAACAAATCGAACACGCTAGCTAGCTACAATGCCAAATGCAAAATGATGATATGGATGATCCAGTATACACGCATTTATATGGAGAAAAATAAGAATTTCATCAAAGATAAATAAATGGCTGACTTCCTTAGCGCTTTGAAATTAGGTTACAAAATACAACAGATGCTGTGGCTGCTCAATTTTTTTTAAAGAATATACATGACGAAACAAGGACCGCTGCCACTGATTTATTTGGGAGACCTGAAGATCTTCATTATAGGCCCAATGTTTTTGGGGAGTTAATGAGAGTTCTAATATCTCCTTCAGGATTTGTACAACGTGCCGTCAGCTCTATACTTCAAGGTGATGGGGATGATGATCCCGACATTGCTCTTCACATGCGAATGCTCATGAACAGGTAGAGCACAACTGCTGGCAGTGCTGTCCTACTAATAGAACATTAATACACTAACACACTTTCTCTCTCATATGCACATACATACATGGGTGTGTTCCGTAGTTGTGTTGCAATGTTTCGTATTTTTCGAAAATGTGAGTTGTTCACTTGATTCGTTAGCCTTTGTTTGGCCAGAGGTTTTTGGAAGGGAGGGGAGGAAAGTGGATTTATGTGTGTTTGGTTTGTAGGAGTTGGGGGGGGGGGGGGAGGAAATGTGAAAGCCATGTAATCCTCCAACTTCTCATATATCATCACCCCACCCCCACCCCAAGGAAATCTGAGTGAGTTTTTGTGTCCTCTTAATTTCTTTTGACTTATTTTTTGCCAAAAATTTTGTACATTATTGTTGCTTAATGTATATTTTTACACATTTAAAAAACAAATGCAATATTTTTACTTATTATATCAAATACTCCCTCCGTCCCATATAAAGGTTGAAATATTTATTCCTCTTATAGCTAAAAGAAGATATGTTTCTCTATATATGAGTCCATGAGTTTATTTCCTATTATCATACCTAAAATTAATCAATTAATCCTAAAAATATGGAAGTGATGTGCACGATTAGTGAGGAAGTTATGCAAGAGAATGTATTTCTAGTCATACAATGGTCAAGAAACATGTTTAGTCATATTATGGGAATTGACATGAGTTTTAGTAATATATAGGTAAATTTCCCTATAAAGGTTCCCATTTCCATTTTAGGAAACAATTAACAATCTTAAATGACAAATTAATCATTAAATATTAAAAATAATACATTTATAACATCACAGTTATCAATACTAACGACATTATAATATGAGAAAAGTGTCAAATAGGCCCCCCTACTAATACGAAAAAGTCAATTAAGCCCTCGAACTCAAAAAACATCCAATTAAGCCCACGAACTAAATATAACGAGGTAAAACAGTCCTTTTAGCAGGATATTAACCGTTCCCAGTTAAGTTGCATATGTGGCAAATGATGTGGCATGCTTGTACATTTTCTTTTTCTCTTTTTCTCTTTCTTTCCTTTTTTCCTTATCTCTTTTTAACTGCTTAATTACCTGCTAAAAGGACTGTTTTGCCTCGTTTTTTATAGTTCGTGGGCTTAATTGAGTGTTTTTTTAGTTCAGGGGCTTAATTGACTTTTCTGTATTGGTAGGGGGGCCTATTTGACAGTTTTCCCTTATAATATACCTATTAAAATTATTTCCGGAAACGGTCTCTCTGTGCTTTACTACAGGGGTAAGACTGCGTACATCCAACCCCCCTTACCCTACCGTAGGTGGGAGCCTTTGCGGCACTGGGTAATGATAATGATGATGATGACCTATTAAAATTATTTCTCAAAATATACTCGAAGTACTTTATTTAATTATTGCCTAAATAACCGTGCCGTTTTGCTATGGGAACTTTCCAACGGGACGGAGGTAGTACAATATTTTTAGATTTTTAGAAAATAATAATTCCTAACTCCTTTAGTGAATCAAACATGATACTCCCTATTATTTAACTCCCTGCATTTTACTCCTGTTCCCTACTTTGAACCAGAAAAGTGCTTAATGTTGCATATGGACATTATCTTAAATAATCCTGCTCAGTGTAGGGTTAGTATTATATGTAAATGTGATGATTTCTGTATGACATGTGCTGTTACAATAGAAATGTGATAAAAGTTTGTACCATCGTTAGCATATTAATATATACTGGCTATTGTTTGTGTGTCTTTTTCAATCAGATCAGTGAGAGCAGTTCGGGCGGCATTGGGGTGCATCAGAAAAGCCATAAACGATCTTAAACTAAGTCAAAAGCCCAGAATTGTTGTAGTTTCAGACACGCCTTCTTTTGTGAAAACCATCACTCCATACTTAGATGAGTTTGCCCAGGTATTTATCCCATGTTCCATAAAAACAATGCATGTGCCTGTTTTCTGAACTGAAGGATTAGTACTCCGGTTTTTCGCCAGGGTTTGCACTTTGATTACAAACATTTTATTGAAGGAAACTTATCCCGATACACAGGCGGCAAATCCTACAATACTATCAACCCTAGAGAAAAGGACTGGGGCCCAGCACCGAGATGGGTTGCATTTGTTGATTTTTTTCTTGCTTCAAGAGCAAGACATGCTGTTGTTTCTGGGGCACACCGGCGTGTTGGGACTACATATGCTCAATTGATTGCAGCATTGGCTGCAGCTCACCATCTTGGTAATTTCTGTTATTAAAACCACTTACAGTGCATTTGGCTCAAGTGAAGGGGCTGGGGAGGGATTTTAATGTTACCTTGTTTATTTTAGGAGGGTGGTGGACTGGTGGTGGTATAAAAGACTATCTTTCCGTCATCTTAATTCTTAATAAAAACTGGTTAGCTTATCGCCACAAATAGTTATAAAATTACAGCATGTTCACTTGCAGACATTATTCGGCATACTTTTCAACATTTGGCATATTGTTATTAACTAATGAATCAATATACATTTCAAGTAAAATCAAACTTTAGATGTATAGTGATTGTTCATGTAATAACAATATGACATATGTTTAAAATTTGTACCAAATAATATGTTTGTAACTTAACTGTTCCGTATTATGTAAGTTATTAAGACTTGTCTTCGAAGTTTTGTAAATAGTACCTCAAATGCTACAGATGAGATGATAAAGTCAGTTTCTCCGATTAAAAACACACTTATCATCGTTTCGTAGTATTAGGGTTTTTTAGTGGCATTTTTTATTTCTAAATCCACTCATCTCCCAAATTTGCAATTCATTCAACCTTAAATTGCGAACCCATCCTATGGAGTATGAAATATGAATGGAAGCTAAAACAGCAAAAATGGCAATATTTTTTGTACCTTAGAGTGTTAGTTAGTCTCACTTGGATAAAGTATTTTTCACCCTCATTTTCTTTATCCAAACAAGGAGAGGATAGCAGATAGCTATATCCTTCCCTCTCCCTCCTCCACTTCCAACAAACAAAACGGGGTTTAGTCTAGATGGTCAATCATAGTCTCTGTCTGTAGGTTTCTTTCTTTTAATTAATGTCAAATATATGGCTAATATGCAAAATATGGGAAAAATATGACTTTACTGCATACTAACTATAGTGCTCTTTTCACACAGTAATTCCATGATATTCAGTTTTACTCAGACTGGGGTCGTATATTTGTGCCCCAAATACTTCCCAGTCCTCACATCAAAACCAATCTTACCCCTATTCTCAGCCTCAGAACCAATTTTCTCAGCCTCAGAATCAATTTCCTCACCCTCAGAACCCATTTTCTCAGCCTCAACACCATTTCACTTCTATACCTAACCAACCAGTTAACTTTCATAACCCTATCAACAATTCTTCATCTCCTATCAATAATCAAACTATCACTCACCATTCCAGTTCCTCCACCACACCAGTTGTGTCTTCCTCTTCTTCTTCCAGTTCCTCCATTCCACTACATAATACTCATCCCATGCAAACCAGATCCAAATCTGGGATTGTTAAACCTAGACTAATCCCACCTTACTGCTGGCTCATATTGAGCCTAAATCAGTAAAGCAGGCTCTTTCCTCTCCACCCTGGCTTGCAGCAATGCAATCTGAATATGATGCTTTGATTGCAAACAAAACCTGGGCATTAGTTCCTCTTCCTGAAGGGAAGCAAGCCATAGGCTGCAAGTGGGTTTTCAGAATCAAGGAAAATTCTGATGGTACTGTGAATAAATTCAAAGCAAGGTTAGTTGCCAAGGGGTTTCATCAGAGGTTTGGTTTTGACTTTGGAGAAACATTTTCTCCAGTTGTCAAACCTGTTACTATCAGAATTCTTCTCACACTAGCTGTCTCTCATAACTGGTCCATCCAACAACTTGACATTAACAATGCTTTTCTCAATGGGGATCTTGAGGAAGAAGTATACATGACACAACCTCCTGGTTTTCAAGCTCAGGACACCTCTCTTGTTTGCAGATTACAAAAGTCTTTGTATGGCCTCAAACAGGCTCCCAGGGCATGATTTCATAAACTAACCTCAGTACTTTATAATGCTGGTTTTAAAATTTAAACAAAGCAAGTCTGATCCTTCATTACTCCTCTATCTCACTTCTGACATCCAAATATAAATCCTCATCTATGTGGATGATATCCTAGTAATAGGAAACAGTCCTATTGTCATCAACCAAATTATTCATAAGCTGCATTCCTCCTTTTCTCTGAAGCATCTGGGAGATGTTGACTATTTCTTGGGAATTGAAGTCAGAAAACTTCCTGATGGTTCTTTACACCTATCTCAAGCAAAGTATGTGAGATATCTTCTACACAAGGTTGGAATGTCAGATTCCAAAGGTGTAAAAACCCCTATGATCAGTAGCTGCAAGCTAACCAATGAAGGAACTGATTATTTACCTGATCCTTCTCACTACAGGTCTGTTGTTGGCATTTTGCAGTATGCTACTTTAACCAGGCCTGAACTTAGCTATGCTGTAAATAAAGTATGCCAGTTTATGGCTAATCCTCAGCAAGAGCATTGGAAAGCTGTGAAACACATATTGAGATATCTATCTGCTACTGTCAATCATGGACTACTCATCAAACCTCTTCCACTATGCACATCACCTCTTCCAATTTCTGCCTTCTGTGATGCTGACTGGTCATCAGATCCTACAGACAGAAAGTCTACATCAGGATCTTGCATCTTCCTAGGACCAAACATTATCTCTTGGTGGTCTAGAAAACAACTGAGGGTGGCCAGATCCTCAGCTGAAGCTGAATATAGGAGCCTTGCAGACACCACTTCAGAAATTTTATGAATTCAATTTCTGCTCAAAGAACTTCAAATTCCCTTTCCTAACTCCCAGAATATATTGTGACAACCTTAGTACAGTTCAGCTTGCACACAATCCTGTACTTCACTCTCGCATCAAACATATGGAGCTTGACCTCTTCTTTGTACGAGAGAAAGTTACACTCAAGCAACTTGAAGTTTTTCATATTCCAGCTTCCCAACAAGTGGCAGATGTTCTGACCAAGCCCCTATCAGCATCTACATTTCTTGAATTCAGAAACAAACTGAGTGTGATTGATTTTCCCAAACAATCATCCTCAGTTTGAGGGGGGAATGTTAGCAATATTAAATAGACTATTACTACTGTTATAGTTAGTTAGAACGGCTTGTGCTTTCTGTTAAAACTACTGCATTGTATAAATACTTGTAATCTCCACATTATCAATAAGATGAATTCATTCTGATCTTCTTCCCCGTCTCTATATTCTATTATTTTTATACAGCAGAACAGATGTTATTTTATATTTTTATTGTTAAGCTTGGGGTATTTTTTCTTTTGCTCAGAGGATAACAAATCACGTGATGGTGTCTCAAGTTTCACATTCTTAAGTAGCTTCCAAAGGAACTTGGTTTCTGACGGGTTGAGGAATCAGATCGGGTGGGGACACGTATGGAACAGATTTGCAGGACCGTTGAGTTGCCAGGGTCAGTCAAACCAATGCGCCTACACACCGATCCTCCCCCCTGCATGGTGGGATGGCATATGGCAGTCTCCCCTTCCACGGGATATCCGCAGAATGGAAGCCTATGGCGTTAGGCTTTCTGGGTTTGGGACTTTTGATGTTGATCAACTTCGAACCTTCTGTGATTCCAGAAAAAAATGGGTTGTAACTGTCAATCTAATTTAAGTGCCACTAGGGTAAGGATTATTTGGCATAAATGGATGAATCAGTCAAGTTTCTTAAAAATGAAAAGCCTTGGGTAAAATCGTTTTTCACGCAAATAAGCAAGCCGGAGGCTATTTATTAGAATTAGCCAATTACTGCTACCACACGGGGCTAGTTTTTATGTAGAATCTCTTGTAGAAGTTAGTATGTAATATGTATTTATTTTTGTAACTAGATGGAGACAGGGTACAAACATGGAGTTACATAGGCAACTAGGCAAGCATGGGGTGCCCGGTGCCCGGTGCCCTGCCTATATGTAAGGAATAGATCATTTGATTCATCTATTTAGCATTAAGTTGCGGGCACATTCTGAAAGATGTCAATTATCATACTGAGTTTAAATAAAATTTCAGTTTTGTAATTATTTTAGATTTTTAGTTACCTTTATGGTTTAAGAGTGTTTATCTGTTACAACTTACAAGCAAATTTAAAGACAAAATGGCTCGATAGCACTACCAGTTTTTCATATTTTAATTATATCTGCAAAATTGTTCTAATCGTCTTAGTTTTGAGGATGAAGAAAAGTTAAAGGAGAGCACTGTCTCTCGTTTGTGGCTTGCCTTTTTTGGTACTGGGATTAATTAAAACTGGTGGTCTGGGATCTGATATTGATCATCATCTACGAGACTTTTTAGTTTATTTTGTGTTAATAAACCAAAACATGGTACTCAAACGGGCGAGTCTGGGCCTATTTGACTATTTCAGAGGTATTAAAACCATATTTTTTTTGCAAAGATTAGAAATGATTTTAAAAGATATTTTTGATTCTCGAACTGCTATACCATTTGGTTGTTAGTAAACAGGACTGTCCCCATAAAAAACAGAGCCCCCATGACCCCACCTTAACCCTTAATTCCAACCTCATAGGTTATGCTCACGAACAATTGACATCAGACGCAGCAACCATCGACAAACCAGAACCAAAACCATCTGGTTCCCAGTTCTGTTTTCAATTTTTTGGGACAATTGAACCGGAGTCAAAACCATCCAATTCTAGATTCCGCTCAAATATTTTGGGACAACCCAACTGGACTAGTGAATCTACAATTCCAAACCAGAGATAATGCAGTTTCCGATTCATAAATCAGCAGTTCCAGTTTTACCAGAAACCACAAACCGGTTGACCTACCACTATTGGTGTCCCATACCCACAACCCCGTCGAAACAGACTACCTCTTTCAACTGTGAAAGAGTAAATTCAAAAAGTATCCACATAGTTGGAAATAGGACACTCCCCCAACTAAACAAGCACCACAACCTCATCCCGACAGCAATGTTTTTTCAAGGTTGAAGTGATGAGCACGGGTTTTTACTATTTGTGGAAAGATACACATTAGCAACACCAATAATATATTTTTATTATAAATTGGATTGAAGACTGCCTCATGACCAAGATATATTTGGCTCAAAGAACACTCTTCATCTAAAACTACAAAGGCCAAATGGCAAAGAAGACAAAGGTGCTCATCTTCTAAAACTACAACTACATTGTCCACACAAACCCTGGTGCATCTTTCCTCGGCCCAGCCAACGTCCGATACAAATACATCTTATCCACTCTCTTTCCCCCATCATCATCACCCTCTGCCATCTCATCCTCAGCCCCATTGATGATTTCCACATTCAGTCTTGGCATCTTCTTGGCCAGAACCTTGCAAGCCCCAAGGGTTACCTCACAGGACGACATCCAGAGTGATCGCATTGTTTCATACTTCCCCACGTCTGCCAGAAGTGCATTGTCACCAAACGGGCAGTCCCTGATCTCAAGCTTCTTCAGCTTCTTGCATCCGTTCAGAACATACAGCATCCCCTTGTCACTCTTACCTGCAAAGGCAACAGACAGCATTTCCAGCTGCTCCGCATACATCCCTATGTACAGGAAAACCAGATCGGTGAGAAGCCCGGAGACCGATAACCGCTTAAGCCCTCTGCAGGACTTCACAATCGCCCCAAAACCTTCGTCGAAAGGCTTCTTCGTCACCGCGTCGGGTACCATCGGGTTCAGGGTGCATAGCCTGAAGCGGGTGAAGTTTGGGCAGTTCTTGGCAACCGCTACCAATGCCGCGTTTGTCATCTGCCAGCAGAAGTAGAGCAAAGAGCTGAGTTTGGGACAGCCAGCAGATATCGCAACCAAACCTTCCTCTGTTACACTGTTGTAGCCCACCTGGAATTCCTGGGATGGGAATACCCTCAATTCTTGTAGCTCTTTGCAATTTGAGGCTACAACGGCAAGTCCTCTGTCTCCAATGGTGTCCAGAACCTATAGAATCATTTTTGTGCAGTTCAGGTAAATATTTATTCAAGCAGATAGAGTTGATAATACCCAATGCAATCCCTCGACCCCTCACTTTTGCCCAATTTCGTCCTTGATTGTGCAACTTAGAATCCATTTATGGAGTGTTTGTGATTGTTTTTACTTTAAAAACTGATTTTTTGAAGTGGTTTTCGAGAAATTGCTTAATGGTAAATATTGATAGTGCTTGAGAAAAAAAATTGGTAAAAAAACATTTTGTATAGTGGAAAAAGTGAAAAGCAGTTCAAAGCATCACTCCAACTTAACTCTAAAGAAAACTAATTCACTTGAAAACACCAATTCAGCTTTTTAAAAGCAAAATCTGAAAAAAAAAACTTTTTCTAAGTTTTTGCAAACACCCCTTAGTCTCTTGTACTTCGAACATGTTTTTCCCCTAATGAAGAACTATATTTCCCAGAGGACTAAATTTGGTCCAAACCTCATATTTCAGGACCAAAATTCAGTCCTAAATCTTAGCAATTTCAAATAAATGACAAAAATACCCTTATCATCAGCATCCAAATATGTGTGCTGACTAAATGGGTCCAAATTTTTTAACATAAAACCAAGTTTAGTCCAAATGTAGTTGATGGCCAAATCAAGTGTATGGTCGAGGGACATGATAAGGTATTATCTCTGTTTTAGGAGTAGAAGCAATTCTTTGATTAAAAAGGGACGAATATGAAGCAGACCCATAATCGCTGCAGTTTCCTACAATGTTGAAGCAGCTTCATAAGCTCAATACAGTAAATTCCTGGAGCATAGCTCAAGTTTAAAGATGTCAAATTTGCGCACATAGGGTAAACAGAAGGTAAGCAGAAAGAAGAAACCTCCAAAAAACCAGACAAACTCCTTATTGAGGAGCGCTTCAAAGCAATTTTCAGTTTCTTGTACACCTCTGTGTTCGGGTCACAAACAAAAGACCCAGTCCCTAAGTCTGTCAACTGAGGAGACTGTAATAGAATCCTCTGAAGAGCATCAAGAGGCACCACACGGTTTACCCTTAGACTTCTGAGGTTCTTACACCTACCCACTAGTCTCTCAAGTGCTGCCAGATTAACTTCCCCTTTTAAGCATGCAAAGTTTAAAGAGATAAGTGATGTACAGCTCTCTGGGAAACAACTAAGCCACTGCCCTCTATGATCTTCAACATCGTTTTCCTGCAAGTCCAATTCTCTCAGATGCCTGGAAATCAAATGCCAATACATCACTCAGTATGCAAGGCTCATCATCAATCTTAATGACATGATATTTAACCTGACTGAAGGTAGCTCACATAAGAAGCACCTTAAAAGGTTTCTGCAACTGAACCACCAAAAAATTGTTGGCGCAATAAGGTAGCAAGAGGTCAATTAGAATCAGCAAACAGCTAACAAACTAGATGTCTACTTAAGAAAATAGTCTTTCTTTGGACAAGGTACAGCCTTTTTATTTTGGCAATGCGCAACAATTAGATGCTTGGAACACTGCATAAGACTATAAGAGTACAACTTCTTAAAAAGGAAAAAATAGTTCTTTAAACCAAATTTATCATTTTCAACCTGTGTGTAACTCTTTCAGCGAACTACATGACTTATCTTCTTTTGACATACAGAAAGAGCTACTTGAAAAGTGATTTTTTGAAGGAGCCATATAAAGTAGCATTTCCAATATAAACAGGCCAAACAAAATAAAGGACTAGAACAATGCTTGAGAAAGCAAAAGGAATGGTATGGTATGGACACTACTCCTGTTCTAAAACAGTAAAACCCTCCACTTGATTGGAATTAGTTTTCCACCAACCAAGCCGAGAGCGACCATAGCAGGTACACTACCTGCAATTGGAGGCAATGGCAGCAAGACCATCTGTAGTGAAACCTTCACAGCTAACAAGGACCAAAGACTTAAAATTGGGGAAAGATCTGGAAAGGAAGTCAAGGGCATCATCAGAAACCACCATTCTCTTCAACCGAATCTCTTCCAGATTCACAGATGCATCCGAGAGAGCCTCAATCCATGGGTAAACATAGCCACCCCACTCATGAGGAACCAAACCAAAGTCAGCAAAGTGGGGCTTTCCCTTGAGGGTTAGAGACCTCATCCTAGAAAACCTGGATATCACCCTCTCCGGACTGATAGCATAGCAATTCCCTACGAACACTTTCTCCCTGCTAAACTTCTCCAGCATGTACCAAGACCGGCACACCATGGAAACCGCATTCCGGTCTTTATGCGACGTCAGGAAATCGAATATGAGCTCCAGCACCTCGTCCGGAAAGTAAATCATCACACTGATTATCATACAAACACATCGAACACTTTCCCCCAAATCCTCCAACCCTTAACTACGACAAATATATAGTAGACCCAGCTAGATCTGAGATGGAGATAGAAAAGAAACAGCATATCAAGAATCACAAAGATCTGGAAATTGAACCAGTCTACAGTAACATTGAGAGAAGGAGAGAGAGGAAAGAATTTACTTTTCGTGATAAGATTTCAATTTCTGAAGGAGGAAAGACTAGTTGAGAAGAGATCATCATCACCGTCATCATCAAAACCCGGAAAATAACAAAGTGGGTGATGATTACAAAACGGAGGGGAATCAGAGATCTGGTTAAAGAAACCAACAAAAGCTATCCGTATTCAAAGAAAAACAAAAAAAAACATCAATATATACAGGAAAGGAAAGAAGGTGCAAAATTATGAGAGGAGGGCGATCCGTATTTAACACTCATCACTTCTCAGACACATAAATTAAAGTCTCTTCACTCACTCTCTCTGATCTCAGCGTGCTCAGAGAGACAAGTGACTGGAAAAGTGACGAAGAAAGGAAAGAAAAGGAAAAGGGGTCTCTCTGAGCGTTCACGGCGGTGGTGGTGGTGGTTACGAGACGTCTTAGTCAAGGGGGAAATGATATCTGACGGTTGGTGTAACTTGTGAGAGCGGAAAGGAATCTTGACCGTCGAGGTGCACATCATGGGAGTTCATTTTACCAAATTGACATCCCAATCCCATGCCTCTCAAATTACAAATATGCTGATTAGCAGGTTGGGTTATCACTTATCACAAATTTAGAGCATTTTTTAAAT